TTCCTGCTTTGCTAAAAGCACATCAAAATAGTGAGCATTAGTCCCCGTACATTCCTTTATCACCTCTCAAGCCATGACCTATCAACAAATTTTAAAGAGAAATTTTTTCCACTCTTCATTCCTGTTAGTCATGATTATTAACTAGGGCAGGGGAAATAACTTCAGTTTCACTTACAGGATGGGGATTTTACGTGAATTATGAAGGCAAAAGTCAAGAGATGACTGGGAGAGCAATTAGAAAGTGTTTAAGAGAAAAAAACACTCCCCTTTTCAATTAGGAACAGTGTGCCAAATTCATTCCTGGTGTAAATTCAGAAAGAATTTGATCCCATAGGTTGTATTTGTAGATAGTGATTCAGTAATTCCTATGCCAAAGTCTATACCAAGCAGGAATTCTTTTTCTTTTCCCTCTTCATGTAAGTGAATCTCAATACTCACAAGTTATAGTTTGCTCTGGAAATTATTATGCTAATTGACTAAAGACATTAGGACCAAGCTGTCCCTGGTGGAATGTCGCTGACGTGTGTAGGGTTACCCCAAGGATGTATTTGGATCATTATTCATATAATGGAATAAACCCAGAAAAGAGTGGGAAGAGGAAGGATTATGTAGTCTAGATTTGGTTTCCTTTCAACCTTCTTTTATGTGAGCACAAGTGCTTTTGACAAGAAAAATTGAATATGATTTTGATTGAGCTTTATCGGTTGTATGAAAATAGATGCTTCCATTGTTGTAGCTTGGCGATGCATGATAGAATGTCTGTGGAATATAGGTTAGGTTTCTTTTTAGTTAACATGCTGACAATTTTTGAATTTTCTGATCAAATCTCATAGGCCAAGCCATTAAACAAGCATACTTATATCACACTTGACTGCCTTCTTTGCTTTCTCCATCCTTTCCATTTTAGGAATGGGAACAGAATGCTCTCTCTGGACCCAGATGTGCAAATATTTAATGGGTCATTGAGTTTCAGGTGTGTTTTGAAGTTGTATAGCAGTGTGTAATATAGACTGTTTACTAAGTGGGAAGTACA